TCCTGATTCTCCTGCATGCTGGTTGTGTGGCCTTGGGCAAGTCACTTATTCTCACTGAACAAGTTTCCATAGCTGTAATTTGGAGATGATCATGATAATCTTACCTTGAGGGAATGTTATCAGGATCGAAGGAGATCATGTCTGCAAGATGCTCAGCATGTCATAGGCACTCGGAAGTACTCCCTTTCCCAAGCCTCTTCCCTTCTTCCTCTCAGCAATTCTATGAGCTAATCATAACAGCTCACACTTGTTAAGCATTTGCTTTGTGCCACTTCACATATATTAATCAATTTAATCTGCACAACAACCCTATGAGAGTGGGTACTCTTATTATCCCTATTTCAGTGACTGGGGAAACCAAGGCACAGAGAGATGAAATGATTTGCCTAGTCACACGTTTAGCAAATGGTATCATCAGGAGAAACCCAGCTAGTAAGATGGAGCCTGGATTCATTCACCATTGTTGTTGTCACTCCTATTGTACAGATGAGAAAACTGAGGCTCTGAGAAGTTTCATTTGACCTCAACCTTACACACAACAGCCAGTGACAAAACCAGGTTTCAGAGTGTGTCCATTGGCCTCTAGATCCCCCACCCTTTATCGTGCTGCTAGTTTTTTATTTTGGGGTGGGTAGAGATGGGGTCTTGCCATGTTGCCCACGCTGGTCTCAAACTCCTGGCCTCAAGCAATCCTCTGGCCTTGTCCTCCCAAAGCACTGGGATTACTGGTGTGAACTATGGTACCTGGCCCATGCTGGCAGTTTTAAGGAGGAAATGCAGATGTTTAGTTCCATTTTAAACATGCTATAGTAGAGATGATGGTGAAGCAACCTAACAGAAGTCTGTTTGGTGATTGGAAATGTGAGACTGGAGTCTGTTTGCTTCACTGACATATGCCAAGCACCTAGAATAGAGCCTGGCACATCGGTAGGCACCGTAAATATTCATTGGAGGCAAGTGGCCAAACTGGAGACATTGCCTGGGGAGTTGATCCAATGGAAGCGATTGCTGGGAGCATGGCTGTAGGCTCTGGATCACAGGCTGTCCCATGGGACTCTCAGACCTCCTTCTGGGAAGGAGCCACTATTCTGGGGACTTTGGCCCTCTGTGGCCTAGGGTACCAAAAGGCTTTAGTGGGTAAAATTTTGGGCTTTTGGCCGGGCATGGTGGCTCACGCCTGTAATCCTAGCACTCTGAGAGGCCGAGGCGGGTGGATCGTTTGAGCTCAGGAGTTCGAGACCAGCCTGAGCAAGAGCAAGACCCTGTCTCTACTAAAAATAGAAGGAAATTGGCTGGACAGCTAAAAATATATAGAAAAAATTAGCCAGGCATGGTGGCGCATGCCTGTGGTCCCAGCTACTCAGAAGGCTGAGGCAGGAGGATCACTTGAGCCCAGGAGTTTGAGGTTGCTGTGAGCTAGGCTGACGCCACGGCACTCTAGCCAGGGCAACACAGTGAGACTCTGTCTCAGCGAAAAAAAAATTTGGGCTTTGCATGTGGCAGACCTGGGTTTAGACTCCTGCTCTGCCAGCATACCAGCTGCAGGACCTCAAATAAGTTATGTAAACCTTTCTTTTCTCTCTCTCTCTCTGTCTCTCTCTCTCTCTCTCTTTAATGGAAATATAACAGGCTTACCAAAAGTGCACAAATTGTAAGTGTTCTGTTTGATGAATGTTCACAAACTGAACACACATGTAACTTGAGCCCAGATCAAGAAGCAGTATATGACTGGCATCCCAGGAGGTCCCCCTCTGCCCTTTTCCAGTCACTATCACCCTCCAAGGGTAACCATGATCCTCATTTCTTTTCTTTTTTGTTTAGACAGAGTCTTGCTTTGTTGCGCAGGCTAGAGTGCTGTGGCGTCAGCCTAGCTCACAGCAACCTCAAACTCCTGGGCTCAAGCGATCCTCCTGCCTCAGCCTCCTGAGTAGCTGGGACTACAGGCGCATGCCACCACGCCCACCTAATTTTTTTCTATTTTTAGTTGCCCGGCTAATTTTTTTTCTATTTTTAGTAGAGATGGGGTCTCACTCTTGCTCAGGCTGGTCTCAAACTCCTGACCTCAAACAATCTGCTCACCTCGGCCTCCCAGAGTGCTAGGATTACAGGCGTGAGCCACCACTCCCGGCCAATGATCCTGATTTCTAACACCATAGGTTACTTTTGCCTGTTTTTGAACATTTCGTGCTGTGTCTGGTTTCCCCGCTGTACAGATTGTTTAGGAGATTGATTCATATTGTTGTGTATGGCTGAGGAGCGTTCATTCTCATTGCTGTATAGAATTTCATTATATGAATTCATGCTACTTTTTCTTTAATCTATTCTACTATTGGGGTGTTTGAGTAGTTGCAGAGTTTGGCTATCATGAGAATTGTCACAGTGAACATTCTTGTACGTGTCTTTTGGTGCACATCATCTCATGCACATTTCTTTTGGGTAGATGCCTGGGAGTGGGATTGCTGGGTGTGCATATGTTCAGCTTTGGTAGTTGTTGCCAAACAGTTGTCCAAAGTGGTCGTATGAGATTTCTAGTTGTTGTACTTTTTTGCCAACACTTGCTATGTTTTTATTTTTTTCATTTTAGCCATTCTGGTGCATGTGTAGTGGTAGCATATTGTGGTTTTAATTTGCATTTCCCTGCTGACTAATGGATACATAACATATGAAAGCACCTTTTCATGTGTTTATTGGCTGTTTGAACAGCCTCTTTTAGAAAATGTCTACTTAAATCTTATGTCCACATTTGTATTTAGTTGTCTGACCTTTTAAAAACTTACCGACTTAGAAGAATTCTTTATATATTTTGGTTATAAGTCCTTTGTCAGATGAACATATTGTAAATATCCTCTGCTCTGAAAATTACCTTTTCATTCTTTTAATGATATCTTTAGATGAAGAAAAGATTTTAATTTTTTTTTTTTTTTTTTGAGACAGAGTCTTGCTCTGTTGCCCGGGCTAGAGTGCCATTTAATTTTGATATAATGCAGTTTATCAGATAAGTTGCTCTTGTATAATTAGCCTCTTTGTCTTAAGAAATTTTCATCTACTCTGTAGTCACGAAAATGTTCTTCCATTTTCTTCCAAAACTTTTACACTTAGAACTGCAGTCCATCTGGAATTGAATTTTGTGTTTGATGGGAGGCATGGGTACAGATCGATTTTTTTCCCCCCATTTGCACGTTCAGTGGGCCCAGCGATGTTTATTGGGAAAAGACTATCTTTGCTAACCGCTGCATTGCCTTTGTCATAAAGCACCTGATCTTACACATGTTGGGTCTGGATTCTCTTTTGTTCCTTTGGTCAGCATTTGCACCCTTGCACCAAGACCAGGCTGTCTTAAGTGCTATTGCGTTATCATAAATCTTGATATCTGATAGTGTAAGTCCTCTAGTTTTGTTCTTCAGGAATCCTCTGGCTATTCTTAGCCCTTAGCAGTCCCATATGAATTTTAGATTGAGTTTGTCAATTTTCACAAAAAAAAACCTACTGGAATTTTCACTGGGATTATGTTGAATCTACAGGTTAATATAGGGAGGATAAATCCTTTAATAATACTGATCTTCCAGTCTATGAATATGACATATTTTTCTTTTCTCTTAATTTTTTTATTATGAAAATTTTCAAACATAGAAAAATGTGAAGAATTACATTGAATTCCTATACATTCACCATCTCAATTTGATGGATGTTAATAGTGTGTCTTATTTGTGTCATACGTATATATTCTTTTATTCTTATTAAACCATTTCATAGTAAATTATAGACATCATAGATAGACATAGACACTTTACCCATAAATATTTCAACAGGTAACTTCAAAATCTAAGGACAGTCTCCTTTAAAACCACAATTCCATTATCATATCTAGGAAAATTCGTTATTCTCTAATTTTTTATTATTTGAAAAAAACTTTTTTTTTTTTCTTGGAGACAGAGTCTCACTCTGTTGCCCAGCCTGGAGTGCAGTGGTGGAATCACAGCTCACTGCAGCCTCAAACTCCTGGGCTCAAGCAATCCTCCTGTTTCAGCCCCCCAAGAAGTTAGGATTATGGGTGCATGCCATCACACTCAGCTAATTTTTTTTTTTTTTAGACGGAGTCTTGCTCTGTCACCTGCGCTAGGGTGCTGTGGTGTCAGCCTAGCTCACAGCAACCTCAAACTCCTGGGCTCAAGTGATCTTCCTGCCTCAGCCTCCCAAGTAGCTGGGACTACAGGCGAGTGCCACCACACCTGTCTAATTTTTCCTATTTTTGGTAGAGGTGGGGTCTTACTCTTGCTCAGGCCGGTCTTGAATTCCTGAGCTCAAGTGATCCTCCCACCTCGGCCTCCCAGAATACTAGGATTACAGGTGTGAGCCACCTCACCCACCCCTGAATTTTTAACCTATAGTCAAATTTCTCTAATTGCCCCCCAGATATCTTTTGTTGCTATGTTTTGTTTTATTTTAAAAACGAAGATCCATTCAAGGGTCATGTATTGCATTTGTTTGTCTCCTAAATCTCTTTTAATTTAGAACCATATCCCTTCTCTTCTTAGAAGTGACACTGATTTTTGTTAGAGATCAGGCCAGTGGCCTTGTAGATTTCCCACATTTGAGATCTGACCATTTCCTCATAGTGTTATTTACTTTGTTCCTCCATCTCCTGATCCTCCTGTAAACAGGAACCTAGATCTAGGCTTGATTAGATGCAGCTAAGCCTCACTAAGCCTTCCTGGGGTCTCCTCTGATGGCCTTTCTTAGAGTTGTGAAAGGCCAGCAGTTGTATGAGCAGGTAATGTAAAGTTTTAGCACAGTGCCTGGCAGAGGAAGTCTCAGTACGTAGTAGCAGCTCCCAGTATTTGTCCCTGCCTTAGGCTAGACGTTTTACCCCGTTTGTTTCTGGGAATCAGTTTTCCTGAGGCTTCCCCTATCCTGGCCAAGCAGCACTAGCTGCCCCCACTGGGGCTCCTGGCCCTGGGCTGCCCTGGGCATTCCCCATCTTTCTCTCCTCCCGCCCCCAGACAACACTGGCAGTTCCACATACCGGCCACCCCCTCGGACTCGGGAGGTGATGATCAACGGGCAGATGGTGAAGCTGAAGTACTGCTTCACCTGCAAGATGTTTCGGCCACCCCGGACCTCCCACTGCAGTGTCTGTGACAACTGTGTGGGTGAGTAGGAGGCAGCCGGCGGGGATGTGGGGATTCCTGAGAGATACTGAGTCCTGGGGACGGGGTCACACGTTGGGGTGGGGTGGGCAGTGTCTTAAATATCCAGGGCTGGGCAGGAAATCTGGTTCGCCCAGATTCGCCCTGACTGAGGAGGGTCCCAGCGCAGGGGCTGAGTGTGACCTGTGGTGCTTTGGCTTCAGCCCAGGATTGGTAGACTTGTTCTCCCCAGCTCTGAAGTACGGGGCAGACACAGAGAAGCCTCGAGCCCTTCTCCCACGCTTCAGCTTGGTCCTCAGTAGGTCCAAGTTCCCAGGAACCAGAGACTAGAACAGTAACATTCCAGATGTGCTTGGGCCAGAAAGAATGATTTACTATCCAGTGACCCAGGACCAGCAATACTGGAAGACTTTGATCTGATTCCCAGGGTTTGAGAGGGACAAGCATCTGGGAACGGAGGAATTTAAGCTGGTGAGGTACAGAGGAGGTAACCAGGACTAGAAGCTTAGGCTCCTGACCCGCAACTCTGGTGGTGGTTTTGTGCCCTCTCCCTGCTCTCCAGAGGCCAGGAAGCTCTGATGGGGACCAAGGGTGCTACCCTGGGAGGGTGTTGTAAGGGAAACACTGCGTGAGAAGACCCAGGTGAGCTGAGCCACAGTGACTGTGCACAGTTCCCAGGGCAGTGAGCTCATTGTGCCAGCTCAGCACTCCCTGAGCAAGAGAACAGTGGGGAACACCCCATGACGGCAGGCAGGGAAGTGGGTGACTCAATGGGCATCATTCATTTCGGAGGATCTGCCCCACCCACCCCTGCAAAGGGCGCTAACCTTGGCATGAGGCCTGCCTCGGGCTTGTGACCCACATTCCCACAGGGACTTTCCTCACCCATCTGGGCGTGGCCTCACCTCCAGGGACACAGTGTGGATGTGAGCCCAGCCCTCTGACCTGGCCTCTGATGCCAGCTGTCCGTGAGTAACATAGCGGCCCAACCCCTCCCTGGGCCGCTAGTCCAAGAGCAAGGGACAGGGGTCATTGGCTGTTGGCGTGTGGCTGGGGTAGTAGGTCAGACAGCAAGTACTTTTTGTGGGCCTTTGGACCAGGCGCTGCCCTGCGTCCTGGGGATTCAGCACAGTGTGAGGCCAACACAGGCCCCCCTCATGGAGCTTTCAGTCAAGCGGGGTGATTGGCCAATCCAATAATTATAAATAAGTATGTAAATACATACGGGCGAACTACAACAAAAGAGAAGGGATGACTTTCTTAAGGAAGTGGCTTCGCAGCTGAGACATGAAGGAGGAGTTATTATTGACCAGGTAGAGAGACAGAGAAGAGTGTGTCAGGTGGTGGGAACTGGTGCGCAGAAGACTAGAAGCAGGGTGTGTCTCGGGGCCCAGGAGCCAGCTGGTGCAGAGAGAGGGAAGGGCGGGTAGGGAAGGCCCAGCTGTGGGGCGAGGCCTCTGAACACCTGTGCCGATTGCCGGCCAGACCCTCACTAACCCATGCCCCTTGCCCTTTTCCAGAACGGTTTGACCATCACTGCCCCTGGGTGGGCAACTGTGTGGGGAGACGGAACTACCGCTTCTTCTACGCGTTTATTCTCTCCCTGTCATTCCTGACGGCCTTCATCTTTGCCTGTGTGGTCACCCACCTGACGCTGCGTGAGTTGGGGGTCAGGGCAGGGGGAATGGGAGGGGATTGCCAGCAAGCTCGGCCTGGTCAAGGCGGGTAGTCGCTGTCCCTCTGAGCTGTGTCCTCTCCTGTTTCTTCTTTCCCAGGCTCTCAGGGAAGCAACTTCCTCTCCACTCTGAAGGAGACACCAGCGAGATATCCTTTATCAGCTAGCGGACACCCCCGTGGGAACCAAGGCCCCTTCACTGGGGCAGGTCCCCACACCTCATCCTATAAACAGAAGGGAATGGTGTACAGCCCACATTCGTCTTCTAGAATCCAGTGTACCAGCTGCTTCTGTTCACACGTAGGCTAGAGCTCACCCTAAATGGGGCATTGTGGGGCTGGGGTGGCCGAGGACCCTCAGGAGACACAGCCCCTGTCTTCAGGGGCCTGGAAGAGAGCGTGTCCCTTAAGATGCCAAGCTCCCTGGACCATGTCATGCCCGAGGCTCTTTATGCTTGGAATTCTCAGTCCCCTTGGCCATCCATCGTCCTGATGTTGTCTTGCTCTTGAGTGGGACACCTGACCCCTCCTTGGGGCCCAGGAGGTGATCCTACTGAGAAGTGGTGGGTGGGCCACAGGAAGGTTCCAAAACTCACCAGCTCTCGGGGGAAACAGCTCCACAGAAGGATACATGAGAAGGGCCAAGTGTGCCTGGGAGGCTCCCCACCCACCACCCTGTGTGAGTCCTTGACTGCCCTCACCGTGCTGGAGCTGGTGATCTGCTTCTTCTCCATCTGGTCCATCCTGGGCCTCTCAGGGTTTCACACTTACCTCGTCGCCTCCAACCTGACGACTAATGAAGACGTGAGTAAGGCTGGAGCAGCCCCACGTTCCTGGGCAGCAGCCTCAGAAGGACATGGGGCTGAGGGATCTTGGGGCAGCCAAGTGCATTCCTGATTCTCGGACTGCGTGGGAAACATGGGTGGAGGCGTGAGACAGCCAGACACCTCCCAGTGCTCAAGGCTTGGCCCTGGGAGACCCGATGCAGGCTTCCGAGTTCCCCACGTGTTTTGGTCCCTTGATGCAGGCTCCCAAGGCCCCAAGTTGCTTTTCTCCACAGCCCCGCAGGAGACAGTACTCAAACCATGACACACGTTGTTTGGCCAGCACATTACTGCTTACAGAATCTTCCTCTTCCCATCATCTCCTTGGGTCCCTTTGCCAAGCCTGAGGCAGAAGGTACAGGGATGCTTTTTCTCCATTTGGTGGCCAAGAAACATGCCCCAGGGTCACACAGCTGGGCAGGAGCAGAGCCAGGGTTGGTGCCGAGTTGTGGGCACGCTCTCTCTGTTCCATGCAGCAGAGCCATGACTGTTGTCGGGCTCCCTGGGGCTCCCTGAGGCATGCTTATTTGGCGGGGGGAAGCCAGGACAGGAGAGTGGGATTCCATCGACCCTCCCTACCTGCTGCCTTGCAGACCACCCCCAGCAAGTATTGTTTGAGCACCCACTGTGTGCCCAGCCCTGGGCCAGACTGACCTCCCTTCCCCATTCTCCAAACAATAAAAAAGCAAAGAAGAGCATCTGTTTTGGGGCCTGCCATCTGATACTTATCAGGGACACATCATCCAACAGGAAATACATTTGCTCACCTCAGCCTATCATTCAGGGGAACAAAACTTGACACACGTGACAGGGTATGATGTGCTAGGTGATTGGTAAGAGCAGAAATGACATCAGCCAGCATCCCTGAAGTGGTTTCCTGGGTGCTGATTCTGCAGGTTATTGCCAGGGGTTAAGCAAAAAGGGGTGCTGTGACCAAATACGTATAGAAAACTAGGTTAAAGTTACGAGGTAGTCCTTATTGCAAAACTCCTCAGTGCCTTCAGTAGCTGACTTCTCAGAGCTATAGAATCTGGCAAGATTTTCTCTAATGCTCCAACAATGCCACCTGAGAATTAGTATTATTGTCCCTATTTTCAGAGGAGGACTGAGACTCAGAGAAGTGATCGTGTCCAGGGTCATACAGTTAGTGAGTGGTAGGGCCAGGGCTCACACCCAGGTCAGCCTGAGCCCTGTGCCCTTCTGCAACCCTCCCTTGGAGGTGGCTGGCCAGAGAAGGGAGCATTCACCCAAAAAGTTTTCTCTTGAGGCTTCTGTTTGGCTCTGCTCTGTCTTCCATCCTAGTTGGGGCCTACTAATCTCTGTAGAGGGCCCCCCGCACCCTTGTTGAATGGCCCACATTAAAGAGGTTTCAGAATTGGCCAGCTTTCTCCAGCCTCTAGACCTACCTCCTAGAAAAGTAAAGCAAAAGGAGGTCCTTGACCCAGGCCTCCTTCCTCCTTGCAGATCAAAGGCTCGTGGTCCAGCAAGAGGGGTGGTGAATCCTCTGTCAACCCCTACAGCCATAAAAGTATTATCACCAACTGCTGTGCTGTGCTCTGCGGCCCCCTACCTCCCAGGTAAGTGAGCAGATCTCTCCCCATACCACAGATGCCCTCTGTGCACCACCCACTGCCGAATGCACTCAGGGCATTTGTCAGGTAAAGGAATTCTGTGGAAAGCTGTAATGTTTAATCATGTGCACATTGTAGAAAAAAATAGGTATAAAATATTCTAAAAAGCAGAGCATTAGGCCGGGCGTGGTGGCTCACGCCTGTAATCCTAGCTCTCTGGGAGGCCAAGTTTGAGCTCAGGAGTTCGAAACCAGCCTGAGCAAGAGCGAGACCCCCTCTCTACCAAAAATAGAAAGAAATTAATCGGACAACTAAAAATAAATAGAAAAAATTAGCCAGGCATGGTGGTGCATGCCTGTAGTCCCAGCTACTCGGGAGGCTGAGGCAGTAGGATCACTTGAGCCCAGGAGTTTGAGGTTGCTGGGAGCTAGGCTCTAGCCCAGGCAACACAGTGAGACTCTGTCTCAAAAAAAAAAAAAAAAAAGCAGAGCATTAGATATTACGTGTAATCCTATTCCCCAGGGATAACTATAAGTGACCATTTTGGCCATGCTTGAGTGATGCTGCCCTTCTGGCTGCCCACTGCTGGGACCGGGTGGGCCCTCCATCCTCTCCTGGCAGCGGGGAAGCCTGTTGTCACAGTCCTGCAGGGAAGCTCCCTGTCCATCCTGACACTAGGGGGCGCCAGAGCTCCAGAACAGGAATTAAATTGCTGTGGACACTGCTGGAGAAGACTTCCCCACAGTTGTGTCCTCTGCCCCACCTAGTATTCCTGTCACCCATCCTGCCTGGAGGAGGGAAGGGAAAGTAGGAATCTCACTATTGCCAAATGCCTATTCATCCTTGCTTTCCTCCTCCCCTGCAACCTGGCTTCTTGGCAGCCAGCCAGACAGGTGGGCCAGTTTGAATTAACAGTGAATAAATTCTGTGGCCAATAGCCAAGTGGCCGGAGAGCACAGAGAGGCCTTCCAGAAGGGAGGGGTCTGAAGCCCGAAAAGAGAGCAGCTCTCCTTTCCTCAGCCTTTCTTAGACTGGGTCTTTCCTTGGCTAGGAGATGGACTCTGCCATCCAGCCCCTGGCCTGGAGCTTTGGCATTGAGCAGAACCTTCATGTGTGTCCCCATTGTGTTTTGGAAGCCTGATTGACCGGAGGGGATTTGTGCAGTCCGATGCCGTGTTGCCCTCGCCCATCAGAAGTGACGATCCAGCCTGCAGAGCCAAGCCCGATGCCAGCATGGTAGGAGGCCACCCCTGACCAGGACTCAGTACTTGCCACCTGCTGGCCTGTCTGCCCCTCCGCACTCACCTGCCGCCCTCCACACCTGCGGGGACTCTCCCCATTCCATCTGAGGGAAGCAGGGCTGCCAAAGACTCAAGTCTTTTCGTATTTATTTCCCACCCTGCGTGGCTTTCCCTGAACTGTTTTGTGGCTGTGCCCTCTGCTCCCCAAACCTGGGTTCCTGCAGCCTTGGGCCCTGGGTGCCCCCAGCTGATCAGTGGCAGAATAGACAGGAGAGGCCAGAGCCTCTGGAGGCCAGCAAGGGGACCGTGCCAAGTTTCTGCCTGAGCCAGGGCAAGCCCTGTGTGAGTGGAGGTGTGAACTGAGTGTGAGGCCTCCAAGTTGGGGGAACTACTTGGGCCTTGCTGAGCCAGGGTCCTCAGGGCAAAGCAGGAGACTGATGAGCTGTCAGCTCTGGACAGGTCTGTGGGGGAGGAAGCCTCCATCGGCTGCTTTGGCTTGTGGGCTCCTTCATTCTCTTTGTGATGATCATTGTTCTTTCTTCCGTGGGGTTTTTCTTTTTTCTTTTTTTTGTATGGAGTTGGCCAATAGGATAGAGCTGGGGTTCCAGTAGAGAGGGCAGGGTTAGCGGTGGGTGGGGAAGCCTGTGTCAGAGGAAATTGAATCAGCCAGCCAGGCACCCAAAACCTAGCTCCTGTACGATTCCTGGGCAGCACAGCAGGAAGTGGGGGCCTCATCCTCCCCCTGCCCGTGGAGGGCTCTCCAAGGGATCCCAGCATGCCCCCACCTCTCTCCCAGGATAGGCCTGGGGATGGGCAGGCTATGCTCATGCTGGCAATACTTGAAACGGGTTTATTAATGCTGGGTATTTTGCACAATTTTATAGACCTCTTTTCTACATAGCCTTTTTTAAATGGAAGAAGACAAAATTGGCCACATCGCTATCTGTGTAGTGCCAGGTGAAGGGTTATCAGAAGGCTGGTTAGTTTTATTAGGTTTATTACAAAAGACCTTCTGGCTGTGAATGAGTGTGTGTGTGTATGTGCGTGTTCACGTGTGCCCCTGTACAAATGTGGCTGGCTCCCACATCCCCTGGGCTGCCTTCCCCCATCTACCCTTGGGTGTCAGGAACAGCCTGAGCCTTGGGGTAGGAGCATCTGCATCCGTCACAAGAGGCCCCTGGGCTCACGCTGGGGCCTAGCCCCACCCTCTTATCTTCCCTTCCTCCATGGACTTCAGACAACCTGTGGCTGGAGACTCTCCCACCCAACTCCCCCACCCCACCTCTGCCACCCAGCCCCCAGGTTAGGCTTCTAGCTGGGACCTGCCCAGACAGGCTGAGGCTGGGCATGGTGGGTGGGGTGATGGCTGTGGGGAGCAGCTGCCATCCTATAAGCCACACCCCCTTCTCTGAGCTCTGACTATGGGACCCAGTGCCAGAGATGACTGAGGATAAGGTGTTTCTGCCAAGTGGGGGCCTCCATCCAGAGAAGAGGAGGGCCTCAGTCTCGGCCAGAAACTCAGAGGATGCCCCTCCTCTGCTAGAAGCTATAGTTTCTTATCAAAGTAGAGAATTGTCCGTCTCTCCCCTCCTTTGCCCTTCAACTGGGCTGAAGCCCTTGGGAAATGACATAGGAAGTCCCTGGACCTTGCCCTTCCTCGCTCCAAAGGCTAGTGGTCACAGGTGGAGCTGGGAATAGCAGCCACAGAGGGTCCCCTCTGGGAGAAGCAGCTTTGCCCCAGCCTCAGGGCCCTGGGCATCGCTACAGTGGCCATGCGAGGTGGGAAGGAAGCTGGCTAGAGGAGGGGGCTCCCACTTGCGTTTAATTTAAGCCAGTATTCTTTGTTCCTGCTTGTAATAAAACTTTTGTTTTTAAGAGTTGATTTGCTTTGGTTTGGTTTTTGTTCGCTTTTCCTTTGCTGAGGCCCCAGCTGGCAGTCCTCTGTTCTTTCAGACAAACCTGGGTCTTCCCTGGGGATACAGAGAAGGCAGGCAGCCCGTTGATCTGGCTAAAGCTCCCCTCTCCTGGCTGGAGCTCTGTCTGCTGGAGGCAGAGCAGAGGGCGCTGCGGCTGAGCCCCCATGGGTACATGGGAAGAAGCCATCCTGTCTTGTTCCCTCCACCTCCTCCTGCCTCAGGGGCTGGGAGACTCCCAAGTTCTTCTGCCTTTTCCACTGTGATTCCAGTGATGGCTCAGCTAAGAAAATGTTTGAGACAGTAGATTCAAGTTTGAGAGCCAAAGCCCTCCTGGCCACCACCTCCTGCCTGGGCAGCAGAGCCAGGCCAGGCAGCTGATAACACTGGCCCACTTCTCTGGTATCTCCCCCAGGAGGACACCTGTCAGGATTTTGCCATCTCCTGCACAGCCTGAGGGGAGCTAACAGGCCTCTTTGCAGAGGGTTAGCTGGTAAGACCATATCTCCTCTGTTGGCCAGCATTGCCCGCTGCTCTCACACACCATCTCATCCTCATCGCATGCCTCGCAGCCCCACAGAGCCCATCCATCCATCTGGTGTGTGCTGTGGTGTGTGTGCTGGCGGTGGTAGGGTCCCCAGGACTCCCCTCTAAGCAGGATGGGGGTGTGGGGCAGGGCCAAGAGTCCAGCCCCTCCTGGACTGAGGAGGTAGCTTTGCACCGAGCAGCTCTCCAGCTGGAAAAGGAGGTGAAGGGTGAGGCTGGGGAGAGGAGGGTGTACCTGCTCTGAGGCGCTCGGGCCTGTCCTGGTGGTGTGCAGGGGCCCTCGGGCACTAACACTCTTGCGTCCCAGCTTTCTGTCCCTGCTGAGCTTTCTCTCACCTGCCCGTTTTCTCTCCTGCTTCATTGCCTGCTGCCAAGCCTTGGCCCTTCTCTGTGGGAGAGGCACGTGCTGTGGCAGCACCTGTCCCCAACACCAGAGCCCCTGCAAACTACCCCTCTCCTCCCAATCCCGCTAACCCTCTCTCTTCTCCTCCTCTGCTGTCCTGCCTGGGATCTCCAGTGTGTGCAGGGGCTTAAGGACCTCCTGAGGACCGCTGCTCTCTGCCTCTCCAGGAGCGGCCTGGGGGGAGCCAGGCACCCGCCACCTCCACCTGCCTAACCTGTGGCCCGTCTGCCACCGTCTGTGCCTACAGGGTCTGCCCCCCAGCCTGCCCTACGTGTGTGTTCCTAGGGCCCCCGCAGGGGCTGGCCTCTGCCCTTACCCCCTCCATGCTGGCCAGAGCGTAGAAAGCCATAGTGCAGTCGGCACAATAATGTCATACTATGCTGAAACGCACCCCCACCTTCCTTTTCCTTCCCCAGATTTGTGAGGTGTCAAGACTCTTTAGGAATCTTGCCCCACAGCCTGCCCCCCACAAAAAAGAAAAACGAAAAAAAAAACAAAACCAGGCATAGCCATAGTCAAGCTGAGCAGGTTTCTTCAGGAGCCGTCTGGGGTGTTGATGGTGGATGACGCTGCTGAACAAGTTTGATGACTGTTCTAAGCACAACTGGCTTGACACTGTTCCCACGGCCATCCACTCCCACCCCCAACCCGGAGCAGGTAGGATGCTAGAAGGGTGCTTGTATCCTGTGCTCCAGGCACGGAGGGACTGAGCTAGCTGCACAGCCCGGCGTTCTTCAGGGGAACTAAAGGAAATGGGCCGGGCCAAGGAAAATCCGCTGAGCCCAGGGCTGGGGGCTGCTTGTCTGCTGTCTTGTACCTTTTTTTAACCAAAATAAAGATTCCCCTCTTCTTGCCATACCCTTGGCTGTCTGGTGCCACCTTTACTTTGGGGCCTGGGGGCGGGGCCTGCAGTGGTTGGGCGGAAGAACATACTACCCTCATTTCCAGCTCTGCTTCAGCCGATCAGTGCTGCAGTGGAGAGTTAAAAGAGGCACAGTGAAGCCAGAAGGGACATGGGAAGAGTGGCCTGTGTCCTTTTCTCTCTGCCCCTCCAGAACTCCTTATCTGAATTCCAGAGACCTCCAAGCCTTAGCCTACCTCTGAACCTTTCAGAGGTCCCGGCCCAGGCCGAGACAGCGGGTTTAACACCAGTCTGGGACTATCACACCCCTGAACCGAGCCCAGCCCAGGCTAACAATCCCACAGAACCTTCCCTCTCCCCAGCTGCCGCCCCACATTGAGACACACACAGGCCCACACACTGTCCTATGTGCTAAAGAATAATTACCGTTAACGTTCAGCAAGGGCTTGCCAAGCACCAGGTCCATTTTCTCATCTTAACCTATGAGGAAAGTGATGTCAGCCTTTTTACAGATGCGGGAACTGACGCTCAGGGAAGGTACAGGAGCTGCCCAAGTTCACCCCACTGGTAAAGCAGCAAATCCAGGCTTGGAACCTGATTTCTGCCCCAACCTCTGACCCATAGGCACTACCCAAAGAATGAATACAGCTGTGGGAGGATAGGCTCTCAGAGATCCTAAAATTAGAGAATGTCATAGCTAGTAGAGGGCTTAGAGTTTATCTGGGCCAGCATCCTAGTTTTACTGATGGGGAAATTGAAGCCCAGGGGCAGGAAGGGACCTGCCCAAGGCCTTATAACAGAACTGGGATGCAGTCCCACACCCTGACCTCATTCCATTCTCTTTTCATACATTCCACACTGTCTCCTAGACTGGACTGGTTTGGGAGATGTGGGATACTCTAAACAGCAGTGCCTTCAGGAGAAAAGGACTCAGAGCAGCTGAATCACTTAAAAGTAATCTAATATCCCTTCCCAACGGCAACTGTTTAATAGTAGAGGGAACTCTTAGCTAGGTGACTAGACTCCTGTTCACAACTAACCAGGGGAAGAAGGTGCTTGAGCTTCCTCTAGTCACCTGTTTAATTCGATCATTCCACGACTGAAAAATTTCTTAGGTTCTTTCTGCAATCCAACCAGAGTCCCTCCTGCTGCTATCAGAGCCCTGTCCTCTGTTCTCAATGGAGGTAGATAGCAACTGGTTGCTGCCTTCTCTCTGTCACAACCCTTCAAAGCCTGTTATTACCAGCTAAGAAGGACTGGTTGACTACAGGCCCAGAGGCCTTTAGCCTGCTGGTAGGATGGATGCTCTACTGAGGTGGGGGGGTTGGCAGGAAGGATTAGGAGAGCCCCTTTGGGCTGCAGCCCCAGCTCTTGTCCTGCTGACTCAGGCAGCTGACTGTGGAGCTCTGCGCCCTGCCAGGGCCTGCTGCTTCCTGCCCGCCTGGGCTCTTGGACTTGGGAAATGGAGGCCTGGAGGCAAAGGGAGGTACCTGAGACAGGAACTGAGTCAGGACCAACAGGCCAGAGTGGGCAGGAGGTGTCAGGCATCCTGGCTCCCAGATACACCCCTGAGCTTCAGCCGGGGAGGAGCTGGAGTGAAGGGGCTTCCTTGCCCTTGCTTGGGGCTGTGCTGAGGGTGTGGAGCTCGTGGTGTGAACCACTGCCACATCCCCTGGCTTAAACGGCAAGAAAAGAACGCTGCCTCCCTAGATTCAGAAGAAACTCCAAAGTTCCTGGGCCTGCCAGGCCCTGCCTTCCACGTTCCCAGTGTCTTGGGGTCTCCAGATTTCCCCCAGGACGTAGGGAAGCCCGGGGTGGATGACTAGTGTCAAAGAAGGCCCTTCAGGGCCCAGGGCCTGCTGAGGCCAGAGGAATGTTCTAGATGGAGAGGGAGGGGGCAGTGCTGAGCACATCTGGCCAGTCATCTGTCTGGAGAGGGAAGGCTGTGGGGAAACTGTACTGCTTTCTCTCCCCCATGGACACCAGGCTGGGCAAGGTCTGGTCTACAGCTAAGGCCTAGCTTGGAGCCATTCTTCATTTCCCAGAGCCCAGCTCTGTGTTAGTGCTGTGTGTGTGTGTATATGGTATAATAATAAAGTTGATGGGATTTTTTTCACGTAACAATAGTTACTATCTACTCTCCCATGCTTTCCATTAGTTCATTTAATTCTCACAACAAGCCCCATTTTACAGCTACAGGAACTGAAACTCAGAGTAACTCCTTGGCCAAGGCCACAACAGCTGGTAAGAATTAAACTCAGGCAGTCTGATTCCAAAGATACGAGGCTATTCTGTCTCTCATAGGAAAATAATACATATTCCCCATTCATAACTTGGAAAGAATAGGAAAATCAAAAGGAAGCAAAATCACTTGGAGTCTCACTACCTAAAGGTACATTCTGTGAGTTAGTATTTTAGTGTAGTTCCTTTCCATCGTTTTCTGTGTTAGTGCTCCAATTTGAACAACGCCTTTGGGATATCAAGCCCCAAATCCCTTCTGCTTCCTTAGAAACCCTGTAGCATTAGCCCAGACACGTCCCTACTCTTCCTTGTGGAAGAGGGGAGGATCTTGTCTTTGGTCCTTAGAGTTCTGGCCAGAGCCTCCCTCCAGAAGGCCAAGGTGAGTGTTTAGACATTCAGTGGAACCACGGGGACACAGGCCTGTGACATGATCTTGGCTCAAGGATTAGGTTGGCTGGATTCCAGCAAAGGGAGCCCCACCCCGAGCCCCAACTAAGCTTGGGCTAAGGGCGGGGCAGATAGCAGGAACCCACCCTTACAGGTTCAGTGCCAGCACCCTTAGGTGAAACTCTTGATGAAACTTGAGGAGAGGGCCCCAGCAAGCAGGGACAGAAGGTTGGCAACAGAGAGATTTCCTCTCTGAGGCCTCTACCAGTGGTCAGAGGTGGGGCCATGGTCAAAAGGAAGCGACAGGGAAACTTCTGAGAGCCAGGCAGGGGGAGGCGTCACTCAGCTGGGCTCGCTGCCCCATAAAACAAAATGGTATGTGTCACTGCCACCACATTTTCTCAGCCCTGTGTCTCTCCCCAAGTTGCTAGCGTCCCCCCTCGGGGACCAAACTGGACTGAGCACCCAGGTGGCCTGCTTCCCAGCCTCAGACAGAGGGCAGGCTGAGTCAGGCAGGAAAGTGGGACAGCTAGGAAGCTGGGCCCCCACCCTCCATGAGCCCCGCTGATACAGAATAGCAGGTGGCTTGGAGGGGGCAGGTGACCTGGCATGAAGGGCCAGAGCATAAGTCCTCAAACAAGTGGCAACAGGCCACCAACTTGAAAGGGAAAATTGTGCAGTAATGGGAAATGTGTCCAATAAACCTACTGGGTGACTAATTACAAAGGCTGGGCTGCAGCGTCAGAGGCTGCTTGTTAAACGCTTCATGAAGTGGCACCTTGAAAGCTGCCACCTGTGCATTCTGGGAGCTCAGAGGTGACCCTGAGGGGGAGTGAGGACTCGGGTATGGAACCATCTTCAGGTAGACTCAGGAAGAAGCCTGGATCTCACTTCCAAATAAAGCCTGGAGCTCATAGGTCAGAGGCCTCAGTGGGAGGAGAGCCAAAGGAAGTCGGGTACAGAGGGAAAAGTGAGAGGGAATTGGGAACTATGTGACTTGCAGCAAATCTCACCCCTCTCTGAGACTCAGGTGTTCCCATCTCTATAGTCCTGTGTTCCTCACGGAGACATGATGGGGATTAAATTAGATCATGGATATGAAAGTTCTTGGGAAACTATAGCCCTGCCTAAACGTGAATTATCTCACCTGAACCAAGTGGGGAACGCACCTGGCTGGATTAGGAACCCCAGGTGGGGTTCCTGCACATTTATGGGCTCTGCTTAGGCTAAAGCAGCCAGGTGGCTAAAGCCATCCTCACCGCCTGGAAGGACACTGTGAAGGAGGATCTGCTTTGAGGAACCAGGGCAGCTTCCTACTGTAGGCAGCCATGTGGTGACAGCCCTGAATGAAAGGGGGCAGTCTGGAGCCCCAAAAGGTGCCTGTGCAGGTGGGGCCCACACCCAGATTTCTCCTGCTGACTATCCTGCTGACTCACCCCCACATCCCAGCCCTTTTACCTTTATGGAAGAGCCGGAAAGGGTGTGGGGAGAAGAGGAGAGGGAGGCAGGTCCTGGGCCCCAGTCCCGCCCCCTGCCCCTCCCTACCCTTCCCTGGGCCAGGCCACCCAGCCAAAAAGCGGTCGGAGAACAGGAGAGGCACAGAGTCCGGCATTGGTCCCAAGGCAGCCAGTTAGCCCGCCGCCCAGCTGTCTGTTCCCAGAGCCATGGAGAGAGCCAGTCTGATCCAGAAGGCCAAGTTGGCAGAGCAGGCCGAACGCTATGAGGACATGGCAGCCTTCATGAAGGGCGCTGTGGAAAAGGGTGAGGAGCTCTCCTGCGAAGAGCGAAACCTGCTCTCGGTGGCCTACAAGAATGTGGTGGGCGGCCTGAGGGCTGGCTGGAGGGTCCTGTCCAGCATTGAGCAGAAGAGCAACGAGGAGGGCTCGGAAGACAAGGGCCCTGAGGTGCGAGAGTACCGCGAGAAGGTGGAGACTGAGCTCCGGGGCGTGTGCGACACTGTGCTGGGCCTGCTGGACAGCCACCTCATCAAGGAGGCTGGGGATGCTGAGAGCCGGGTCTTCTACCTGAAGATGAAGGGCGACTACTACCGCTACCTGGCCGAGGTGGCCACCGGGGACGACAAGAAGCGCATCATCGACTCAGCCCGGGCAGCCTACCAGGAGGCCATGGACATCAGCAAGAAGGAGATGCCACCCACCAACCCCATCCGCCTGGGCCTGGCCCTGAACTTTTCTGTCTTCCATTACGAGATCGCCAATAGCCCCGAGGAGGCCATCTCGCTGGCCAAGACCACTTTTGACGAGGCCATGGCTGACCTGCACACCCTCAGCGAGGACTCCTACAAAGACAGCACCCTCATCATGCAGCTGCTGCGAGACAACCTGACACTGTGGACAGCTGACAACGCCGGGGAAGAGGGGGGCGAGGCTCCCGAGGAGCCCCAGAGCTGAGCCCGGCCACCACCTGCCCTACCCCGCCCTGCCCACTCCAGTCCCCCACCCTGCGGAGAGGACTAGTGTCTGGGTGGGAGGTCCCACCCTTCTCCCCAAGGCTCTGCCCCAGCTCAGAAGGGCCCCATGGAGAGGACCTGCAGAGCTGAGGCCACCTGGGACCGGGTTTCCACTCTTCCTGCAGCTGTCGAGTGCTCCCAACCCCTGATCATCCCACCCAACCCTGCTCTCCGCACCCCCTTCCTCCCGACCCCACTTCTTCCCCCTCCTCTCCTCCCTCCTGTCCCTGCAGCCTCTGGATCTTAGGAATGGAGGAGTGTCCCACCCTGGTGGCTGAGAACTGGACCATGCGGCAGGGGCTGGACGTGGGTGTGTGCGTGTGTGACTGTGCGTGAGAGCGAGAGCAGGACCGAGACCCAGAGGGAAAGCATGTCTGCTGGCTGTGACCATGTTTTCTCTCAATAAAGTTCCTCTGTGACACTCCTCCTGTCTTTTCCAGTTATTGGTGATGGGCTGGGAGTGGGACTGTAACATGGTTTAGAGACCCTGACTTCGGACCTCTTAGTTAGGGCTCTGACACCCCTGGGGCTGGCTCAGTGACCCGCAGGCAAGACTTCGGGCCGCTGACTCCAGGTGAGAGGCCGGGTCCAGCCCTCTCCATCAGGGCGGACCCAGTGAAACCCGGCCAGTCCCGGGAGGGTCAGGCGAACGCAAAGGCCGCTGAGGAGAGGTGAGTGGGGACGCGGGGTGGGAGGCTGAAGAGCTCAACGGGGTGGGGCAGGACACCAGCGAAGTCTCGGGCATGAGGCTGAGGGCAGCGCCGCAGGGACGCGCTGTAGTGAGCTGCACTGAGCACCCCAGATTTGAAAGCGGGGAAGTCTTATCAAGTGCTCAGATCCCAGCGGAGGGGAGTATGATCTGAGGAAAGGGTATGGCGCCGCCATTAAAAGCCCAGATCTGAGGAGAGGGGAACGTCCCCCAGAGTTCGGAGATGGAGACAAAACGAAACAGGCTGACGGAAGAGAAGCAAGCTGGGTGAAAAGGGCCGCGGGGAGTCTGGCCGGCCGAGCCCGCCGCCTCCGCTCGCAGCCGCCAGCAACATGCCAGGACCTGCGGCCGCCCAGCTCCGTTCCGCCTTTACCGCCCAGGACTAAAGGCGGGGCCTGAAGCCGATCCCGCCCAATCACGGGAGGGCGTTGACACCCCCTCCCCCAAGGGTACCGCCCTCGGGGCCCGGCTGGTCAATGGAGCAGTGAGGGGCGGAACACGCGCCGCGAGTCTTCCCGCCGTCCGCCAGGCCGGGCAGGCGCGGCGATTCGCTGACTGACTGAGGGCTCCCGCCACCCGCCGAGGGGCAGCCTTTCCCGGTTTCACTCTGACAAGTTGCCACCAGCCCGGCCCGAGAGCTCGACTCCCTCAGAGTAGCAGGACGGGGAGGGGCTGTTGGCAAAATGCAGTCCCCGACCTCTGAGTCATCCTCTTACCTGGCTGAGCCCAGGCCGGGCCAAGCGGCGGCATGGGCTGGGAAAAGGCCACCAAGATGCCCCCACCACTCTCCAGAGTCCAGGCATCCCTGAGCCGGTCGCCAAGAGGCTTGAATTGTGTCCCTGACCAGCTATGCGACCTTGGAAAAGCCATTATACTTCCCTAGGCCTCAGTTTCCCTTCTGTGTAAGGGGCTTGCACTAAAGGCTCTACCGTAAGAGTGAACATTTGGGGTTCTGTATTCAAACTGCCTGGGTTCGACTCCCAGCCTGCCTTGGCCAAGGCTCTCAACCCTGCTTACCTTTGTGTCCTCATTTGTAAAGAGGAGGATTAAAAAGCCTTCCTCCTAGAGTAGCTGTGGAGTTTGAGAAAAGAAATGCACGTAAACTAGCCCATAGTACCTGCTCAGCAAATGTCAGCTATTAATTATTCCTTCCAGCATCAGCAAGTCTAGGATTTCGCCAGCATTTCTATGCCCAAAGCAGAATAATGAGCCAGGCCCGGTCCTGAGGAGCAGCCTCACTGCCTCGGCTGACCTGCGGGCTGCTGGGCCACCTGAGAATGCTGGCTCACCTCAGGTGCTCACTCCTCCAGCTGGCAAGGTTGAGGGAGCTCAGTCCAGCCTCCTCAGGGTCCCCGGAGTCCAAGTTTGGCCACACCCATGGGACTCAAAACTGAAGGACTCTTTTCAGAGCTCCTAATTCTACAGGGGAAGTTGGCAGGGCCACTCATGCTTTCTGGATCCCCTGTCTTCTCCCCTCCTTTCCTGGAAGTGTGTCAGGTTTCAGGGATCCAAACCAGAGAGACTCTAGGCGAGGGCAAGTGACTCCTGTCAGCTCTGGAGGTGACCTGGTTTCTCTTACCCAACAGGTCTGGTGACTTTCTCTTAGTGGGGTAGGTCCTGGGAAAGGAACTTTTCTTTTCTCTCAGCCTCTGACTTTTGTCTGTTGGCTCTGCACACTCATGGTTGCCCCATATGAGAAGAAATGAGCTACCCCAGGTAGTGTGTTGGAGCTGAAGGATTTTAAAAGCAGATGCTGTGGATTGAAGATCACTAAATCAAATGCTTACTAGGGCTACATGTGAGCTGGCTTAGGCACCAGCTTATTTGTATTTTTTATTTTTATCAGTACATAATAGTTGTACATATTAGGCACCAGCTTCTGACCACAGGGGTCCAGAACTTTTTTGTTTTTGTTTTTTTGAGACAGGGTCTTGCTCCGTTGCCCAGGCTGGAATGCACTGGTGTCATCATAGCTCACTGCAACCTCAAACTGCTGGGCTCACGCAATCTTTCTGTCTCAGCCTCCCAAGTAGCTGGGACTATAGGCGCACAACACCATGCCGGGCTAACTTTTGTATTTTTTGTAGAGACAGGGTCTTACTACGTTGCCCAGGCTGGTCTTGAACTCCTAGCCTCAAACAATCCTCCTGCCTCAGCCTCCCAAAGTGCTGGGATTATAAGTGTGAGCCACCATGCCTGGTAGGGTCTCAGACCTTTTGTCCATGACATATTTTTTTTTAAATCTGAAAAAAAATATATCTCTCAGGATTTCTTGCCATTTTTCCTGGCCTAGATTTGACATTCAAAAAATTTCAGTCCCACTGCTAATGGGTACAGAGTTTCTTCTGGGGCAATGAAATGTTCTGGATTTAAATAGTGATAGCTGTACAACTTTGTCAATATACTAAAAACCACTGAATTGTACACTTTAGAAGGATGAATTTTATAGTATGTGAATTTTAGCTCCATTTAAAAATATGTCTCAGAAGGCAAAGCAGTTAAGAATGCCAAGTTCCATTGGAAATTTCTTGGTGACCATTCTCCCTTTCCCATTGTCCCCTCTAGTTGATCATGTTCTTTTAATCTTTCCAAATTTCAAAGCCCATCTTCAGGTCAAAACTTGACTAGCCACCTCTCCTCTCCCTTTGACACACATATAGCACTTTGGATATGCTATTTTACCAACCCCTTACATTTATGTAGGTGCATTTACTCAGTTCTGATTTCTTATCTACTTGATTCTACCTCTGGGTTTGTAGCTATGTCCTGGGTTTCTTTCTTTCTTTGTTTCTATTTTTTTTTTAGACAGTCTCACTCGGTTGCCTGGGCTAGAGTGCTGTGGCATCAGCCTAGCTCACAGCAACCTCAAACTCCTGGGCTCAAGTAATCCTCGTGCTCAGCCTCCCAAGTAGCTAGGATTAAAGACAGGCGCGCACCACCACACTCAGCTAATTTTTTAGTGAGATGGGGTCTCACTCTTGCTCAGGCTGGTCTCAAACTCCTGAGCTCAAGCGATCCTCCCGCCTCGGCCTCCCAGAGTGCTAGGATTATAGGCATGAGCCAGCACACCCGGCCTGGGTTTATTTCTTATCCCCTCAGAGAGCTCCCTAAGATTGGTAACTTTGTCCCATTATTCCTCCTTTCTTCCCACCATGACTCCAGCAAGGTTTTGTGTACCAGAATGTGCTCAGATCTTAGGTTTAAAACCATCCTTCCGAATGCCTGGAAACCAGGTTTAGTGCCAGATCCTCTTACAGAAACGGAAATACAGCTGGTCCTGGGATGAGGAAGGGCTGTCTAGACAGAGATGGGCTCACACTGATTTGAGCAACCCCAGTCCTATCTTGCTACACTGACAGATTATCCCTCAGGAAAGGAGGCCCAGGGCTTGCAAAGATCTTCTCCTTTCCAAAATTTAAGTAGTATGGGGAAAATCTGCAACGGGAAATTCTCTAGAAAAGGTATCTGCTCTTCTCTTATGTATAGTTACTTTGGAAGGCAAAGTCCAAATTGGCTCCGAAGATCCACAGGAGTGGGTGATGGAGGCTGAGACTTTCTTCTCAGAAACAACCAGGCACCCTAGGGAGGGTGAGGCATTGGGGTCAGGCAGGCTGCTGTGGCTTCTTCCTCCCTGCCACCACCACACACACATCCAATGTCCAAATGTCCAGTGCCTTTTCGGGAAAACCTCCTAATTTCAGAGGCTTTCACCAAGATCGCTCTTCTGATCAAGTGTCCCACTCCTGCTTCTTTGTAGAGAACAGAGTACAGTAGTAGCAGCAGCTGGCAGGACAACTGTATGCCAGACAGTTTCATGCCTTAATCCTCACAGCAATACTTATTATTGCCCTTGTTTTGCAAATGAAGAGACTGAGGCTCAGAGCTGCTGGTAAATAACCTAATCACAAAGGTTATACAACTACTATGTGCTGGGGAGTGGAATGGAGTCCCACTCTAAGATCCATGATTTTTAAACTACAATAGCTATTTTCAAACTGAGTTCACAGGGTTCCCCAGAAGCTGCCACAGGGCAGGAGTCCAGTGGTCAGGGTTTCCCCTGTTTCTACACACTGGCAAAAATAACCACATATATGTCTATTTTATATATTGGAGTTTCATGAGTTAAAAATAATTTTGAAAAGAACCATTATGCTGTGTTGCCCTGCTCCTATCTTGGACTTTCTAAGAATCAAGAAAGCCTTCTTTTTACCCTACTTTCAACCTGACTCCACCCTAGCCCCACCTGGGATAAAGGAATTATCTTAAACGAGAAAAAGACTGAAGCAGACCAATTTCCTGGCTTGCTCACCAAGTTTAGGTTTTTCTTTTTTTTCAAATTATTTTTTTTCTTTTAAAGGCTGGTCAAGGGAGGCAGTGGGAGTGGAGAAGGAACAAAGGAATCTGTAACTGGTTGTGATCAATTAGTTGTAAACACCACCACACTTGGACCAACCAAGTTTAGGTTTCTTTAACCTGGTTCCGCTCTTTTTTCCTTTAAATTTTTTACCCTGTTCAGAGGATCCATCCTCCATCCCAGCTGTGTGTGGGGGGGTGGGGGGAAGGTGGAGGCAGGTTTCTGCAGGAAAGGTCCCCTCCCCTCAGTACCCCCCTAGCCCCACCTAGCCACTGAGTCAGGAGCCAAGAATGTCTGTGGGGGCAGCAGACAGGTATGTCACCCTGGGGGTGTCAGAGGCTGATTCATCTCTCATCTCCACC